TACTTCTATTAAAGTTTATAATACTTTTCACACAAATAATACATAAAAAGAACAAAAAAATTAAGAAAACACTTTTAATCTTACAGTGCAGTACTTTGACAAATACACTAGTACAGTCCAGTACAACAGCTGGCACACCAGGGCTGGCATCGAGTGAACAGGCAAGAAGAGTTACTGACTGGAGGAGGGAGAGGAGAGCTAGAGGATTGTCAGCAATAGGAGTCAGAGAGCAAGCTGCCATTTCACTCACACTGACATAGATGGACAGTTTCTGGCTCCTTGATGGAGTCAACTCTGTCTACTGCTGCTTTTACGCTTTGCTTCTGGACATCTTGGGCTTGCAATAAAGATACTGTTCTGCTGTACTCTACACAGTACCGTAAAGTTCCCCAAAGCACAAACACCTGTAGAAGATGCATGCACGTGACAATGGACGCCAGATACGTGAACTAACGTGATTGGACATGTGAACCACATTTGCATCTTTGTAAGCTGATGACTTAAAGGTTCCTAAGTAGGGGACTTACTGTATAAAACACCTATTTTTACATGTTGACTGGTGAATATTAATTTCAGTTGTTTTCAAATAACATAACAGCATCAGATGCTTAAAAACCTCAATTTCATTGCTTTGATTTAAAAATACACATTGTATGGCTCTATTAGCTAATTAAAAAGCATCTTTGAAAATAATTGGCAGTAGGAATCCCAAAAAAAGACAAAAAGGAGAACTTTATTAAAGATTGTATTTCCTAATCTAGTGCAGTGATTCCTGCCCTGGAATCTCCCAGCTGGAAGAGCAAGGAGAAGAAGGTAGGGCACTGAGAAAAAAGGGGGGGGGGGGCAGTTCTTGACTTGTGGCGCCATCTCAGCTCTAAGACAATTCAAATTCTAGAAGGACAGAAAAACGCAGAGAACAGAGATCAGAGCAGAAGTTTTGGTTCAAATAAAAAAGGATGTCCTTAATGATAATGAATTAAGTGTACTCAGAAAGCAGTACTGGAGCTGGAATTATGAGCTCAGGAGCTTCTTCTTGACATCTGGGTTTTTTCCGACATCTGGAAGCTTTTAATCAGGTACCACACGAAAAGACTTCAGCAGCATGCAGGCTTTGGCTTTACTTTCTAGATCACGGGTCAGCAAGCCCTTGGACCCAATTCACTCACAGCTTGTTTTTGTTGATAAAGTTTTATTGGCATATGGCCACACTCATTCACTGGTGCATTGTCTATGGCTGCTTGAGTGCTGCAAGAGGAGAGTTGGATAGTCATGACAGAGACCATATGACCTGCAAAACCTAAAATATTTACTCTTTGGCCCTGTGTAGAAGTATGCTCACCTGTTCCACATGAAATCTTTGTCTTATCTAATCTATTCTTTAGCTCAAACATATGAGTCAGTCTTTCATCCTGGCCCCCAACCTGTCATCTCTAGTTACATCAAATCATCTTTGAGGTGGGATGTACTGTGTTACATGTGTTGCGTCGGATGCATGAGCCTAACTCTGAACCATGAAATACAATGCTTTTTGTTTCATTTCAATTCATCCTGACAATGTCTTGCATTACCATGTCAGTGTAGGATACTGAACCAATGATATTAGGGATTTAATGATCCTTGAATACCTTTCTGTTCATAAGCTGTAGCTCATTCATACTTGCTATGTTGTCCAGGCTGGTCTCCTGGGTTCAGGCAGTCCTCCCACCTCAGCCTCTCAAAGTGCTGGGATTATAGGCATGAGCCTATAGTGTTCTTTATATGTTCCCATATGTCCTCTTATTTATTTTAAGATCACTCTTTGCATTTCAGTTTAACAACTAAAATTTTTCTTTTCCACAAACAAGATTTAGAGGGAATTTGGGCATTTTGACCTTTTGATTCTAATAACCAACTGTTAACCTAATCATAATGGAAACTGTGGAAATATTACAGATTGCATCTCTGTGATTTAAATCATTTAACATGTTAATTCTGACTATTGGAGAATCCAACTCAGAAAAAATAAACAGCAGCAACTTGTTTGAGAACAAAAAGCAAGAAACATGAGCCTCCTCCAAAGTCAAAATGAGGCTGGGCATGGTGGGTCACACCTGTAATCTTGACACTCTGAAAGGCCAAGGTGGAAAAATTATATGGTGGCATGCACCTGCAGTTCCAGCTATTCAGGAGGCTGAGACAGGAGGATCACTTGAGCCAGAAGTTCGAGGTTGTGATGAACCATGATTGTGCCCCTGCACTCTAGCCTGGGTGGCAGAGTGAGACTCCAACTCCAAAAAAAAGTCAGAATGACACAATATACATTTTGTACTTGACAGAATTGTCTCTCATTCCAAATCACTTTATCTTCTCGCTGAGGCATCCCAGACACATTCTTGACCCGTGAATTCACAAGCCTTTGCTCTGAGTGAGCCCTTGGGATTAGTTAACTTTTCAAGTGACTGTGGGAAGCTGAGAAAGGAGACAATAAGAGCAGCCTGGGATTGCTGAGGGCGATAGCAGAGCAGAACAAGAATGCTTTGGTTTCTCTTGGTCCCTGTCCCCGATTGCGTAGTGGGTAATTGTTGGGAAATATGTATTTCCTCACCTGGCATTCCAAGAAACCGAGCGCATCACAGCTCGTTTAACACGTGGTTGCTCCATCCTAAGAATAAGAAAACGGATAGAGCCTGCTTGTGGTCTGAAAGCCTTTCCAGAAATGCTGCCACCGTGTGGCACTGTGGAGCTACAGCCAAAAGTCCTCTGCAAGGTCATATGGTTCATCTTGGGATGGCTGCGCTCCAGCTACATTTATTCCTATAACCCCAACGTCGTACTGAATCATTCCCGTGGGCACAAAGTAAACGATTGCCAATCCTGTGGAAATCTCATTGTTTTTAGGATGTGTGGACTTCCTTCCACTAAAATGACAACGTGTCCAGAGGGAAGATCATAATTTTTAAAAGCAGCAGTAAGTTTATTTTGCAGTTTTTATAACTCGTGTGCTTTATATTCTAGAGAGACAGAGGCCATCTGAATTATTAATGTGTGTGCATAATTTCTTCAAATCAACAATATCGATTGATTGGAATACGTCCAATTTAAAAGAGACATATTTTTCCCCCGTTAAACGTTCATAATACCTACCACTAACACTGCAGGAAAAGGTTTAATCTATATTTATATTAAAAGCAACATTGGGTAATAGGATCTGACACCTTAGAACTAATAATAGATAGAACCGTGGATCCTTGATCTCAATTCACACATGGTTCTTACAGTGGAGGCGTAAGGTAAATGGATAGTGAAATCCTCATTTCACAACTGAGAAAGGCAGATGAAAGGTGAAGAAAAGAAGCAATCTCATGATGACGTTAAGTTTTAAAACAAAACAAAAAACATTAAATACCAGAGCTCCGCTGGCCCTGAATTCTCCAATATTTAGACTTTGCGTGTAATTTTCTCTTGGTAGCCTTTTAAATACTTAGCAAAGTGTTTTTAATATAGAAATTTTAAAAATGTTGTCCTTATTAAGCAGCTAGCTTTATATATCCTGGGGAGGAGAACAAGGAAAAAAACAACAAAATCTCACCTGTTCCTTTAGAAATGTACACATTTTCCTACTGATGAGCACAGTTTAAAGATCTTAACATCCACTCTCATCCTAATAACCTACCCCATTTAAAAACATTGCAACTTATTCCAATCTGTTCCTCCTAAAAGTTTCCATAGCAGCTAACACACAGACACGTCAGTCCTTAAGGTATTCAGGGCGTTTGCATCTAATGTATGTCAGGCATTGCTAGTTTACAGATACGAATTCACGTGAAGCTCCAAAACCTGATGAGCTAGGTCATCGTGTCTGCATCTTACAGATGAGGGAGCATGTGTAGGTAGACAAAGCGATTTACCCAGGGTTACTCAGGTCATTAGTGATAGTGGAGTTCAAAGCAATAGTCTGGCTCCTGAAGTGGCTTTCCCCAGGGGTCACCCATTCTCAGTCAGAAGTTGCTCTCCTTCTGCAACAGCTAGAGGAAATCACCATGCTTCTAATTGCTTTTTCTTTTTTTGAAAAGGCTGGAGTGCCAGGGCACGCTCATGAGGATCACAGCTCATCCCAGCCTCGATCTGCTAGGTGCAGGCAATCTTTCTCTCAGCCTCCTGAGTAGCTGGAACTACAGGCACACACTGCCACGCCTGGCTAATTTTTAAATTTATTGTAGAGACGAGGTCTCGCCTAGTTGTCCAGGCTGGTCTTGAACTCCTGGGTTCAAGCGATCCTCCTGCCTTAGCCTTCCCGAGTACTGAGGTTACAGGTGTGAGCCACCATGCCCAGCCTCCATTCTTTGATTTCATATAGCAAGTGAACAGGTTCATCACCTCCAAACCAATCTGTGTGACAGAAATCCATGCCTTAGAAAGGTCACTGTAAATTCAACTTAATGGACATGAACAGGAATTTTAATGTCACTAATGCCATTTATCTAAGTGATGAGCTGCTGCACCCTGAAATTCGCAAAACTGAGTAGTAAGGGATAGAGGAGGGTCTCTGAACTCTGCACTTGAACTACAACCTTCCAGTTCTTCCCTAAATGTAATCGTTGCGGCATCTGTGGTTGCAGACATTCCCTTTCTCTGTTACTGAAAGAAACAAGAATCTATTTAATTTTATCTAGGACTCATTTACATTCATATTTTTTCTCTAAATTAGGAACAATGAATAAAATCTGTATCAGAATTTCTTTCCCTTTTCTTTCTTTTTTTTTTTTTTAATTTCCCCTTTCCTCCTTTATGCTAGTCTTAAGTGCCCTGTCTGGATGCTGAATGCCAATTCTATATATGAAAAAGCTTGTTAATGATGCTGCACATGAGTCATGTCTTAGCTGTTGATTGTGTGTGTGTGTGTGTGTGTGTGTGCCTTTTTTTTAACCACAAAACCAGAGTGGGAAGTGTGGGAGCAGGTGGGTTGGGCAGTGGCAGAAAACCTCATGACACATCTCCCCGCCTCCTGAGTCGCAGAGGACGTCTGGAGCAGCATTTAAATTCTGGGCGGTCTGGGTCGTCAGCAGCAGGAAGAGGAGGCAGCATCAGCATCGCCTGGGACCGGACTCCTCACACATCAGCTGCAGCCTTCTCAGCCTTCTCAGCCTTCTCAACCTTTGCCGAGGTAAGCCTGCGGTTTGCTGCTGTGCTGCTGTCCATGCATTCAGTTGAATCTCATGGGAAAGTCAAAGTTCTAAGCAGGATAGTCTTAACTGAAATGCAGTTAAACCGATTTATATTGTTCTAGTCTTTTGAATGAACAGATCAGATACAAGATACATCGCAGGTCCCCTGGAGCAAAGAGGTCTAGGAATTTTGAAAGTTGAATATAAAACTTAAGAATCCCTAAAAGTACTTCCAAAGCTTAAAAAGAGTTCCTCTGGGTCTCCAAGAGACCAGAAACTACTGCATCTAACCAGAAAAAAGTAATTATTTGCCCCTTTGGAATGATTATATCTCTATCATTGTAAGTGGATAGATGATATAGAGAGATTTAAAAGAAAAAGGACCTTCGTTAGTTGTGCTAATTAAGTCAATGATGATGCTATTTTAAAAATTATTGTATTTATCTAATTTTCAAGGGAAAAAATCCCTTTCTGAGTATATTGCTTTTAAATTTAACTGTTAAAATGCTTGCCAAGATATCTGTATAACACTATGTAGAACCATTATCACAACTAGAAAAGTTGTTGACTGTCCCAGTGCTTTCTGTTGTATTTCAAATTTTTAGAACATCTTACTTAAATACCTAACTTCAGAGATGGTTTCATTTCACATAAGTAGCACCTACTTCATAATTTAAGTTAAAAATCATATTTAAAATTTATGTTGGAAAAATGAAGAAAGCCAATGTCTTTCATTTTTTGTGTGTTTTTTTCCCCCTGAAAAGTAAGTATTCCCATCCTTGCTTATTATTTTAATCAAATTACTGTTGATCTGTTTTTAGGTTTACGTAGCAGGAGATGTCATGCAGTAGTGGTATAATCTCTGGAACTCTAAATTTGAAAGTTGAATAAACACAAACCTGTAAAACTTCCCCTTGCCTGACCTAATAGTGAGAGATGGAGAATAGGTAGCAATATAAATATGGACTTGAAAGACCATAATAGTAAAAGAAAAGGCTTTTCTAAGTAGAGCGTATTCTATAGAAATGCATTTATCTGTGATTATTTTGTAATGAGATAGTATAAAAACATGTCACTGTTTTAACCTGTAATGATATCAAATATTCCTTCCAACATATTTCACAGGAAAAATCACCACCATGAGAATTGCCGTGATTTGTTTTTGCCTGCTCAGCCTTACCTATGCTCTGCCGGTGAGTACAGCTGAATCCTCCAGAAAATTCCTGAAGGTAACTGAACTGTGTGCTTCCAGGTGCAAGGAACACATTCAGATTGTAATCTTTCTTCATCTTTTCTATTTCAAAGGTTAAACTGGCTGATTCTGGAAGCTCTGAGGAAAAGCAGGTAGGCATTTTTTAGCTGTATCCTATAGTTTATTATTTATGTGACTATTGCAAGGGGTGAAACAACTATATCTGCTGCCATTTTCCTTATCTTCCCAGGAAAGTCTATTAATTTGCAAGTATTTGTCGACTGACCTGCTATGGATCTAGGCCACTGCTAAGCACAGTATAGTTTTTGACAAATATATGCTCTGAAGATGCATATTTTTTTAACATAGTAAAATAATGCTCTGGGCCATCTTCACATGTAAAATGAGTTCTATGACATTGCACGACTTTTCCACATAAAAGAAGAAATTCCATCTTTTGCTTTTCTTGGTTGAAGGCTAAGTTTAAAGTTCACCTCAGATATGAGCCAGGCCTGTTTGTATGTCCATAATATTCACAATATTTCTGGGATATTCGCTGAGAAGCCCATTTTGTGAAAAGAAAGTCTATGTCTGCTGTTTGTAATCTATTGTGCTTGTCAGCTGATGTTAGGTCACATTTTTCTAACCAAACATAAGACTGAACCAACCTCTTTATTATAATTATTTGACCAGCACCATAGATGTATCTAACCCTCCACAACAGATGAAAATGTGCCAGCCAACAACAAATGGGCATTGTTCCCAGGAGCTTGGACAAAAAGGCACACAGAGTTCAAGTTGAGTTGAACAGAATAAAGGCCAATATAGAGTTGCCTGGGGTCACTGCAATTAGATTGCTTAATGAAGACATTAAGAGAAGCATTCTGTGTGTGTTTGTGTGTGCATCTGTGTATGTATGTGTGAGTGGGTGCATGTCGGTGTGTCTGTTTTCCAACTGATTTGACAACACAGGTGTTGAATCACAATAATAGCCGAGAAAAATTAACAACTCTGTAGAAGATTGAGGTCACACTATTTGAGGCAATAATCTGTGACTTTTTAATAAAATAAAATATGGCAAGGATGCATTTTTAAAAGGCATATGAACCCATAACAGTTTAAATCATTCAGTGGTATTTAAAAGAAGAGTGAAGAGCTCAAGGCTCACCCTTCCAGAAACTAAGAGGTAGTCATACATTTATATATGTGTGTGTGTGTGTGTGTGTGTGTGTGTGTGTGTGTGTGTATACATATATTCATCAGTTCTTTTCTGATGAAATTCCATTAGCAAATTCTTGAGTAAGTTTCCAGGCTAAGACTAAGATATGCTGAGAAAGAAAGCATGTATTTACTAAATATCATATATATGTGTGTGTGTATATATATATGTGTATGTATACACACACACACACACACACACACACACACACACACACGATAAGTCTGTAAAGATATACCCCTGAAAATAAACACTGATTATCTATGAATGTTAGGATTACTGGGTGGTGTTTAGTCTGTTCATTTTACTCATCTTAATTTCCTTCATATCACTTTTTAAAAATTATAAATTTAGCTTATAAATACCTGAGCTTGTATTGCATGTGCCATGAGGAAATAGACATATGTATATATAAGTATACATATATATGAAAAAATAAAGAAGAGGACTTGGAACTCATTCTTCCCATAGATTTTGCATCTTTTTAAAGCAAGGACCTCCTTCTTTCAGCAAAAAACTTCCACTGTGAAGCTGCTCGGGTTAGAGCCAGTCATGAGAGAAACCCTAAGTGCTACTGACAGGTTCCCTTCCTAATTGTCCCCCACATAGATGGCTGCAGAGGGGAGTCTATAGAACCCGCAGGGTTCTCATCCTCCATGACTGGGACAGAAGTGACTGGCCCTGGATGATACAGTCAATCAGATGACACTTATTCAGAGCAATTTCCACTTGTCTGCACTAGCATATTACCATAATTTTCCAAGTTTGGCTGAAGGAAAGGCCATTCCATTTATATCCTTGACACCTCAGAGCAATAGAAGTTTTGTGCAATGATATTAATATTATATTTCCGCTTTGTCTGGTAAGATAGCCACTAGACATGTGGTTATTGAGCAGTCAAAATGTGGCTAGTGCAACTAAGAATTGACTTTTCATTTATTTAATTTTAACTAATCTAAATTTGAATAACCCCATGTGGTTAGTGGACACTGCATTAGACAGCACAGCCTTGGAGAGTTCCTTCATGTTCCATTGAGTGGAAACAATAAAGATCAACAGTAATGAAGGGCACCTGTGCTTTAGATGTGCTTTATCTAAGAGGAAAACTCAGCCAGCAAACATGGAACAAGAAAGCACAATGTTAAGAGCTGGTCTGCCTAGGTTTGAACCCTGGTTCTGCTACTTCCTACTACTTAAGTACATTGTGGTTGAATTTTCTGATCTGTAAAATGGATATAGTAATGATACCTATCTCACAGGGAGTTGAGAGGATCAAATGAATTAATATGTGTAAAGCACTTTGAAAGGGTTCCCAGCTCACAGATAAAAAGATATCTAAGGCCCTGGTTGACTACATGCATGCAAGGTATGCTTATCAGTCAAGGTTGATGAAGAATAGTTGTTGTTTTTTCCCAGTTTTCTCAGTTTGTCCTTATGCTTTTTAAAATAATAATAAATATGCAATTTTTTTTGTAGCTTTACAACAAATACCCAGAAGCTGTGGCCACATGGCTAAAGCCTGACCCATCTCAGAAGCAGAATCTCCTGGCACCACAGGTATTTTAAACTTCTGGGAATAAAGCACAACAGTGAGAGATAGCTACAAGCAGGACACTCAGGCCAGTTACATGACCCCCATCTGCCTGCTGGTAAATGTGTGCTTAGGATACTGACTGATCCGCCATGTTGGTTTCTTTTCGCGGTAAGCCACCCACCAATGAGGCTGAAAAATAAAACCTGCTTTGGATTGAAGAGGCTAATTTTGTAATCAAAAGCTGGGCAGCTGTGTTGTACACTAATATATATCCTTCCTTCTTCAGAATGCTGTGTCCTCTGAGGAAACTGATGACTTTAAACAAGAGGTAAGTTCTTACTTTCAATCAAAGGCCTGTCATCCTTTGGAGAAATGAAAGGCACCATGCCTAGGCTGTCTTCTGAAGAAATTCCATTAGCAAATTCTCCAGTAAATTGCCAGTCTAAGATTTACTCAGAAAGAAAGCATGTATTTACTGAATATCAAACATACCAGGTTTCTTCAGGAAAGGTCAGTGTTGCAGAAAATATCTATTAATGCCTGTTATCTAAAGCATTGAGCTGCTTGCAGTTTACTTATGATAGGTTGTAGATATCTAATATCTGATATAAGTATCTAATTTAATGCCCATAAAGCCAAAATTTTGCCTTGAAGAACATTTCTGTTCCTAAAATAATAGTTTATTTGATAACTTTTATTTGTATTAGGATCATCAATATATTTGCTGAGCAAAGAGATAAATTTATTTTACTGAAGATTCCATTTTAATATACCAAGAATCTCTGTTAAGGAAAGTCACATAAATAATCCAGTATATTTGCTGATTTGAAGTTTAATAGACATTAACTAGCTATTTTAACAGACAGTTTTGAGCTGCAATTTATACACACATGCATAACAGAGTCACCTTTGATTATCTGTGCTAACAGGAAAGTGGTTATAAGTTTTGGTAACACATTAATATATGGATGCTTTGATCTCTTGATAATTCTTATTTCAAGCAGAAAAATCAGACTCACTATTATATATCTGTATCTATTGCATTATGGAATTTAGTAAATCAAATAATGTTCAGTATATATAAGGAAAAACAATGTTATCAATCTGAAGGTTCTACTCACATATTTGACTTGAAAATATCAATGAAAATAATTTTTTATTGAAAAGAAAAGTAACTCAAATGTTATTGCATTTTTCCATGTGTTAAAAGAAAAACTGGAAGATGCTCACTTTATTTCCTAAAAGCCATAGACTGTGTTCTGAAAGCAAGTAAAAGAAAAAGAGTGTAAGACTAATGTACTATAAGGACTAGGGGAATATAAAGGCCCACAGACTAACTTTCCCGCCATCTTGATCTTTAGACCCTTCCAAGTAAGTCCAATGAAAGCCATGACCACATGGACGATGTGGATGATGATGACGGAGACCACGTCGACAGCCAGGACTCCATCGACTCAGATGACTCTGATGACGATGATCATCCTGATGACTCTCACCACTCTGACGAGTCTCACCATTCTGATGAATCTGATGAACTGGTCACTGATTATCCCACTGATGTGCCAGCCACTGCAGTTTTCACTCCAGCTGTCCCCACAGTAGACACGTATTACGATGGCCGAGGTGATAGTGTGGCTTATGGACTGAGGTCAAAAGCTAAGATGCTCCACAGACCTAACATCCAGGTAAATCCTTCAACAGACACATATGAGGGTTCTGACTAGGTAACCAGAGGCTGTATTTTCATTCATTCATTCATTCTTTCATCCATTCAACAAGCAAACATTAATTAGTAATCTATTTTCTGACCATTGAACACAAAATCTTTCTCTGCTTGGTAGTTTTTGTTGAAGTTCACATAGTTTCTCCCTAATTCTGACCTCTAAACACAATTCTACTTTACTTTGGAAAACAGCAATTATTTCAAAAATATAATGGTCACATTTTGAAACTTAACATCTGAGAAGAATTTTAGAGTTGCAAATTAATCCATAGTCAAAAAAATCTGGATTTTGACACAGCTTTGCCATCTACTATTCATTCACTTTATCTTTTAACATTTAGTTCACTTTTCTTTTTTATAAAACAGTTATAGTGAGACCTACCTCTGCCAGGCACAGTGGCTCACACCTGTCATCCCAGAACTGTGGGAGGCAGAGGTGAGAGGATTGCCTGAGTTCAGGGGTTTAAGATCAGACTGAGCAACATGGAGAGATCTCAGCTCTACAACAAGTCAAAAGATTAGCCGGGAGTGGTAGTGCGTGCCTATGGTTCTAGCTGCTTAGAAGGCTGAGGGACCAGCAGGTCAAGTCTGCAGTGGCCGTGAGTGTGCCACTGCACTCCAGCCTGTGTGACAGAGTGAGATGCTGACCAAGAAAGAGAGAGAGAGCTACCTCATAGGTTTCATTGACCTAAAGGAGGTGACATCTGTGAAAAGGTTTGGTAAAGTACAGCGTGACATGCTAGTGTCCTTTCAGCCAACGTTAGACAATTTTCAGTATGAGTTGTCCCCAAAGTTAGACAGCAGAAAAGAATTGCAATGTTTCCATCCCCAGCTGTTCATGTAATTCTTCTTCCGTTTTGTGCTGTGACTCAGTATCCTGATGTAACAGACGAGGACCTCACCTCACACATGGAAAGCGAGGAGTTGAACGGCGCATTCAAGGCCATCCCCGTGGCCCAGGGCCTGAATGTGCCTTCTGATTGGGACAGCCATGGGAAGGACAGTCACGAGACAAGTCAGCAGGATGACCAAAGCGCAGAAACCCACAGCCACGAACAGTCCAGACTATACAAGCGGAGGGCCAGTGATGAGAGCAACGAGCATTCCGATATGATCAACAGTCAGGAAACTTCCAAGGTCAGCCATGAAATCCACAGCCATGAAGTTCATAGCCACGAAGACCTGCTGGTCCTAGACCCCAAGAGTAAGGAGGAAGACACACACTTGAAGTTTCGCATTTCTCATGAGTTAGATAGTACATCTTCTGAAGTCAACTAAAGGGAGGGGGAAAAAAACATTGCTTACTTGCTTTTAGTAAAAAGGAAAAAATGCATTGTAGCTGGATGAGAGAGAACATGAAATGCCTATTGCTCAGTTTAGTGGGTGAATGTATATGCAAGTAAATCTGGAAATAGATATTATGTTTGGTTCTTAGTTTAGTCTGTGGCTTTGTGGTAACACCCTTGTAAACTAAAAGCTTCAGGGTTTTGTCTATGTCTTTTCATAGAAGAAATGCAAAATATCACTGCATTTTAATGTTTGTTATTCTTTTCTGAATAGAAATTTATGTAGAAGCAAACAAAATACTTTTATACACTTAAAAAAGAGAATATAACATTTTATGTCACCGTAATCTTCTGTTTTTTAAATTAGTGTATATTTTGTTGTGATTATTTTTGTTGGTGTGAATAAATCTTATATCTTGAATGTAATAAGAATTTAGTCATGTCCATTGCTTTTCTTCATTGGGTTCCCACAGTTGTCCAATAATTAATACAATGGAACCTTCTATACCATCTATATAACATTATTTTGGTTTTATTTTGGCTTTGACATATAATAATAACCACATACAGGGTACAGTGTGATGTTTTGATACATATAAACACTGTGCAATGATTAAATCAGGGTAATTACTATGTCTACCACCTCAAACATTTGCCATTTTTTTGTGATGAGAACATTCGGAATCCTTTCTGCCTGCTATTTGGAAGTATGTGATAAGTTATTGTTGACCACTGTCACCCTACTGAGCAATTAAACATCAGAAGCTACTCCTGTCTAACTGTAACTTTGTACCTATGGACCAACTTCCTCCCAACCCCACCTCCCAACTCCCCCACCCTCTGATCACCACCAGTCTACTCTCTTCTATGAAATCTACTTTTTGACATTCCATATATGAGTGAGATTATGCAGTATTTGTCCATCTGTGCTTGGCTTATTTTACTTAATATAGTGTCCTCTAGGTCCACCCATGTTGTCACAAATGAAAGGAGAAAATATGCATATTCTGGTGAAAATCCAGAATATAAAAGGAAATCAATAGAAAAAAAACCAGATAATCCAATTTAAAATGGGCAAATTAGGGCTGAGCGTGGTGGCTCATGCCTATAATCCCACCATTTGGGGAGGCCAAGGCAGGAGGAGAGCTTGAGCCTAAGAGTTTGAGACCAGCCTGAACAACATAGCAAGATCTTGTCTGTTAAGAAAAAAAAAGAGGGCTGGGCATGGTGGCTCAAGCCTGTGATACCAGCACTTTGTGAGACTGAGGTGAGAGGATTGCCTGAGCCCAGGGGTTCAAGACTGGCCCAGGCAACTTGGTGAGACCTCGTCTCTATGATAAATTAAAAAATTAGCAGGGCATAGTAGTGCATGCCTGTTGTTCCAGTTACTTGAAAGGCTGAGGCAGAAGGATCGCTGGAGCCCAGCAGGTCGATGCTGGGGTGGCCGTAAGTGTGCCACTGCACTCCAGCCTGGGCGATGGAGTGAAACTCCAACTGAAAGGAAAAGGGGGGGCAGTCACAATTCTGAAGACATACAAATGGCCAACGTGTATGAAAAAGAATGTTAACATCACCAACATCAGGGAAATACAAATCAAAACTGCAATGAGATATCATCTCATTCCAATTAAAATGGCTTTTATAAAAAAGACAAAATTAACAGCTGGTGAGGACACAGAGGAAAAGCAACTTTTATACACTGTTGGTGGGAATGTAAGCTAGTACAGCTACTATGGAGATTTCTCAAAAACCACCAACAAGCCATGTGCGGTGGCTCACGCCTATAATCCCAGTATTTTGGGAGGCAGTTTTAAGAGGATTGCCTGAGTCCAGGGGTTTGAGACTAGCCTGGGCAACTTGGTGAGATCTTGTCTCTACAATAAATCAAAAAATTATCCAGGCACATACCTGTTGTTTCAGCTACCTGGAAGGCTGAGGTGGAAGGATCACCTGAGCCCAGCAGATTGAGGGTGCAGTGGCTGTGAGCATGCCACTGCATTCCAGTGTGGGTGACAGAGTGAGACTCTGGCTCAAACAAACAAACAAAACAAATGAAATCTTGTCATTTGCAACAGCATGGATGGAACTGGAGGTCATTATGTTAAGTGAAATAAGACAGGCACAAAAAGACAAATGTTCTCACTCATACATGGGAGCTAAAAAAGAGAATCTTATGGAGGTGGAGGATAGACTGAGGGTTACCGAGGCCAGGAAGGGCAGTGGGAAGGAGGATGAAGAGGGGTTGATGAATGGGTACAAAAATATAGTGAGACAGAAGGAGTAAGAACTGGCATCCCATAGCACAGCAGGGGGTGACTATAGTTATCAACAATTTATTATACGTTTCAAAGTAGCTAAAAGAGAAGAACTTCAGTATTCCTAACATAAAGAAAAGATGGATGTTTGAGGTGATGGATGTCACAATTGCCTTGATTTGCTCATTACACATTGTATACATGTGTCAAAATATGCCTCAAAAATATGTACAAGTATTATGTACCAATGAAAATGAATACACTGAAAAGAAAATATTATAAAAATATTAGACGAATACATGAGTGAGTCACTTTGCAATCTGGGTATGAGGGCAGCTTTTCTAACTATGAGAAGACAGCCCTTATGGACATTGTTAGTCAAGTACAGCAGCCCTCGGGCTCCCCGAGCCCTGGCTTCACTTGGCATTTCTTCACCACCAACCGCAGGTGATTGCTGATTAATTACATTGTTCCCGCATGCTTGGCAAGCAGCTCAGCACTGTGCTCATATCCAAGGGCATGGCCAAGTTCATCCTGAATCACTTCTTTGAATGGTGGTACTATTCAATAACCATTTCCTGCATCACTTCTCTCAGTCAGGGTTCATTCAGAAGACAGGAAACACACCAGTAATCTGAACAAAGAAAATGTAATACAAAGAATGATTAACTAGAAACAGGGGGTTAACCAGAGAGCACATCCCTTTTGTGCTACTTTAGGGGTAGGCACAGTGACTCATGCTTGTAATTCCAGCACTTTGGAAGGCCGAGGTGCGAGGATTGCTTGAAGCCAGGAGTTCAAGACCAACCTGGGCAATATAGCAAGACTTCGTCTCTACAAAGATCAAAAAAATGAACCAGGTGTGGTGGCGGATGACTGTAGCCCCAGCTACTCAAGAGGCTGAGACAGGAGGATTGCCTGAGCCCAGGAGGTCGAGGCTGTGGCGAGCCATGACCATGACACTGCACTCCAGCCTGGGAGACAGAGATCCTGAATCCAAAAAAAAAAGAGAGAGAGAGAACTTTAATGATACTGTCAGGCTGTGAGTATCCAAAGAACAATTTGCAAAGGGGGACCCTCTCCCCAAAGCTGACACTCAGACTCCATTGAAAAGGGTGTCGCTGCCACCCAGAGGATGGCAGAGAAGTTTGCTGTGTTATCCTAGGTCTATAGCTGGTGGGCTGAAGTTGGCAAACATGAGACGTGGCCCGAGGGGGTGGGGGGAATGCCCACAGGCCAGGATGGTGTGCAGGAGGCCGGGGGGGGGGGGGGGGCAGGCCTGAGCAGGAAGCTGTCTGGACAGCGCGTGCCAGGTGTTGCTGGGCTCAGTGCTGGACCCTGCGGTGCAAGGGAGGCTGGTTCCCTGCATGTCCCTCCAGTGCCCTCTACTGACAAAGCGCGACACTGTGCCAGCTGGCGAGGGAAGCATGTTCACAGGGTCCAGCTCCCATGGGAGCACCAAGGGGGCAGAGGCAGCGGGTGGGAATGGGCAGGCTAAGGACTGACAGGTGGCATGGGGCAGCCAGAATGAAGACTGATTCTTGCCAAAACGAGCCTGTGGCATCTTTCTGCCTTAGGAGGAAAGCAGGCACTCAGGGACAAATGGGGCCACATCCAAGGAGCCAAGGAACAGGCTTGATGAGGTTGCCGTCGACTAAGCAATAAAAAGAATAATGACAGTAATGGATGATAACACATTGAATTCTTAAAATTCTATTCGCATACAGTGATACAGAAAGAAAGGGAGAGAGCATGAAAGAAGGAACTCTTCATAGATGAACGCCGGCCAATAAAACATGCAGAAGGAAGGGTAAAATTAGAAAACCACTTTGCAACCCACAATGTAATAACCACTGCAAGAAATGATCGTTAACGAAGGTTAAGATCATTGAAAAGATGATTGGGAACATATATTCATCTGGTCTCAGAATATTAACCCACACATTACTTAGTAATTCCAAAAGGAAAAAGTTGCTTTTGACCAGAGAGATTTTGGTCACCAGCTTCATCCAGTAATCAAGCTCAATTTCATGAATGAGGCTGGTAAGTATGTTCCTCTGAATGTGATGCAACACCACCTATGAAATGTTTTTGTAACATATGATTACAGGACTAAGTCACTAGGAAACAAACACATCCAGAATTTGAGCTTCTCTATGACACGGCTGGTCTGAACTCTCCAGAAGACAGAGTGATCAGATAAAACACAGGATATTCAGTTCAATTTGAATTTCAGAAAAATGACATATCAGGCTTTAGTATAAGCATGGAGCATATTACACTAAAAGGCTATTGGTTGTTTATTTGACATTCAGATTAACTGTGCATCCTTTCTTAAATTCCCTAAATCTGTCAGTCTTACAAATAAAAGTCAATTCAATAAGAGACAAAGGGCAAGGGAGGAGATAGTATTCTAGATTAAAAGTCTAGGCCAGGTGTGGTGGCTCAAGCCTGTAATTTCAGCACTTTGGGAGGCAGAAGTGAGAGAATTGCCTGAGCCCAGGGGTTTGTGATCAGCCTGGACAACTTGGTGAGAACTCATCTCTATAATATGTCAAAAAATTAGCCAGGGGGTGGTAGCACGCAACTATAGTTCCAACTACTTGGAAGGCTGAGGCAGATGGATTGCCTGAACCCAGCAGGTTGACGCGGGGTTGACTGTGAGCGTGCCACGGCATTCTAGCATGGAAGAGAGTAAGACTCTGACTCAAAAAAAAAATCTAAGTCATAACCAAGGGCAAAACATGAACCTTAATAAGCTCTTGGATCAAAAAAAAGCACACAATTTGGGGTCAACTGTGGCAATCTAAATACACACAGTATCTTAGATGATATTGTGGAATTCTGGAAAATTTTCCCAGGTGTTCTCATTGCATTGTGTATAAAAATGAATGTCCCTATTCTTAAGAGAAGTACAGTGAAATATTCAGTCATAAAGCATCACAGTTCTTATAATCTACCCTCCAATGATTCAGAAAACCATCAGAACAGGAGAGATGTAGGTTAGGGATGACAAAGCAGCTGATATGTCGTCCAGAGAGCTAATGTACAAGAGGACTGCAGTTGATAAAATTGTACAGTACTGGGAGTCCTGCTAAATGAGTAGATTTTAGCTGCTCTTGCCGCAAAAAAAAAAAAAAAAAAAGAGTAACTGAGTAACTATATGAGATGGTGAAT